GTGGAATACTATTCAGCCACAAAAAAGAATAAAATAATGCCATTTGCAGCAACACGTATGGACCTGGAGATTTTCATACTAAGTGAAGTAAGCCAGAAAGAGAAAGAAAATACCATATATCACTTACATGTGGAATCTGAAAAAAATGACACAAATGACCTTATTTACAAAACAGAAACAGACTCACAGACATAAAAGACAAATTTATGGTTACCGGCGGGGAAAGGGAGGGTGGAGGGATAAATTGGGAGTTCAGGATTTGCAGATAATACTATATATAAAAGAGATAAACAACAAGGTCCTATTGTATAGCACAGGGAGCTATATTCAATATCTTATAATAGCCCATAATGAGAAAGCAAAAAAAGAATATATATATGTATAACTGAATCAATATGTTGTACGCCAGAAATTAACGCAATGTTGTATACTGACTATATATCAATTTCTTTTAAAAGGAAGAAAAATGGTGAATTTTCTTATGTATAAATTATTCCTTGTGATGGGTCAAATTGTGTCCCCCAAAAGGGTAAGTCCAAGCCCTAACCTCCCATCCCTGAGAATGGGACATTATTTGGAAACTGGATCTTTGCAGCTGAAAGTAAGTTGAAGATTTCAAGATGAGATCATCCTGGGTTTAGTTTGGGCCCTAAAACCAATGACTGGTCCTTAGAAGAGACAGGAGAGACAGAGATGAGACTCGGGGACACAGAGAAGCCCCAGAGGGGGAAGGCCATGTGAAGATGGAGGCAGAGATTGGAGTGACGCAGCTTCAGTCCAAGGAGCATTAAGGAAGTAGAAGATCAGGATGGGAGAGCTGTTACCATCAGAGGCTCCAGAAGGAACCAACCCGGCCCCCACCTTGATTTCGGACTTCCGGCCTCCAGAACTATGAGACAATAAATTTCAGTCATTTAAGTCATCCAGTTGCTGGTAATTTGTGATGGCCTTGGGAAGGAATACCTACCTCAATAAAGCCAAGGGTTGTTTGGGGTTGGGAGAGGGATTAGGTAATTACTTATTTACTTTAATGGAAGCACTGGGGATGGAACCCAGGACCTCGAGCATGCTAAGCACGCACTCTACCACTGAGCTGTACCTTCCTCCCACCTAGTTTTTTTTCAGTTGGGAAAAAATTGGCAATATCAGCAAAAAAGCAAGCTACAGAACAGTATATTCAGTAAAATATTTTGTATGAAGGTTTTAAACACCCTCAAACAATACTACCTATTGTTCATAGACTTTGCATACATCGTAAAAGCCTGGAGGTGCCTTGGTCTGGAAGCACGCCACTCCCCGGGTTGCCTCTATGGAGGGGGCAGGGAGGGCAGTGGGGGCATTCTGCTGGCTTCCGATGCTCATCACAGACTGCCCAAGTCCTTGTGAGGCCTGTGGAGTCTTGCCCAGGGAGGAGATGCCAAGACTTGGAATTCTAGGGGCTCACCAGAGGGTTGGGAGGTGGGGGAGAGCATTCAGGGCTGAGCATGCACTTGGAGGCTCCAGGAAGTTGGCTTGCTTGGAGGCTGGCTGGAGAGAAGGAGAGAACTGAGTTTTCATCCTCTCTCTTATCAGGACAGCACCCCTCAGGCTTCCCCAGGGCGACATATCCATCTTCCTCTAGGATCAGCAGGGAGGCTGGGGGAGGGGAGCTGGGGGGCAGGGAAAGGGCTGGACTCCTGGGTCCAGAGGAGGCTGGAGACCAGATTCAAACAAAGAATGACTGGGGCTGGGAGCCAGGCAAACAAGGACGAGGGATCGGCCATAGAGCCACAGACAAATCACTCTATCTCCCTGAGCTGGTCACATGTCTGTGACTGGTATGCCCTCATAGGATTGCTGTGAGGATGAAGTACATTGTAATATGTGTGGTGAGTCACTTCTTATGGTCCTGCTCAGGATCACTAGCACAGACTAAGTGCTGGTACTTCACCATTTAATTCTCACAACCGCATAAGCTGGAAACTTATCACCCCATTTTACAAATGGAGAAACTGAGGGCTGCAGAGGTCAGCTGAATGAAACAGGCACACATAGCCCATATGTGGCCAAACTGGAATTTGGACTGAAGCCATGGGATGCCAACATCTGTGAACCAAGCTCTTAGCTATATCGTTTTATTGGTTCCTTTCTGTTTTGTAGGTCTATACCTCCTCCTACCTCCTGGGTGGACTGTGGACCTCCTGGGAGTAGGGCCTTGACCACTTCATCTCCAGGTGAGCCCAGCCCCTGCCTGGCAGGAGGGGGGCTCAGGAAGGTGTGCTGGATGTGGTACAGGAGGAGCCTGGGGTGATCCTGGCATTTGGAGGAAATCAGGTGGCAGCACCAGGGATGTCTCCAGTCCTTCAAAGTCCATCAGGCTGTTCCCACAGATGCCGCGGGAGACCACAGTGGCCTTGCCGGGCAACACACCCCTCAGACCCCTTTAAAATGAAATTGGTACTTCTGCTCTGTGCTGGCAGGAAACCTGGGCCTAGTCCAGGATCCAGGGGTCCCAGCCCCTGAACCACTCCTCCAAAGAATTCTTGCATCCATTTTCCCACAAGTCAGGAGTCCCAGCTCCCATTTTCCTTTTCTATTTCTAGGGCCCAGCCAGATAGGTCCTCAGTCCTCCAACACTCAGAAGTCCTGACCCCCCAAGCCACAGATGCAGGGGACCCAGCTGGTAAGTGGCTGGCAAAAACTGATTATGCACATCTCTGCCCGTCCCCACATTCAAGGATGTCATGTCCGTAGCTTGAAATTAGCATTGGTGGGAGTATTTACACCCCACAAATTGTCAAAAGCAACAAATCAGGGCTTTCTTTGCCCCCAGAGAGCCTGTCGTTAAATAGTTACCAGCTCACCGCAGCTCCCAGCCCTCCATTCATCCCTCCTCACCAGGCCAGGAGCCCCTTTCACAGGGACCCAGGGAGCTCTGGAAGTCTGAGGAGACTCCTGGCAAGCCACCAGGCCATGGCGGTGGCATCATGCCCAGGCTGCACTAGGCTGTTTAAACACCAGCATCCAGCCCTGGATCCTCCCAGTCTCCACACCGAGTGCTCTGCCCCTGACTCTGCACAGCCTGGGAACTGAGAGGGTCAAGCTGGGAGTCAGCACACAGGCTAAGATGTGGCTATGGGCAAATCACTTTAGCTGTTCTCACCTGCAGCCCAGGAATCAGTATAAGAGCACACACCCTGAAGTCACATTTCTGACACTCACATTCAAGTTCTGTCCATTTGACCCGAAGCAAGTTAGATCCCCCCGGGCTTCTGCTTCCTCACCTGGAAAATGGGGATGATAGTAGTTCTTGCTTCATTAAGATGTCTTGAAAGTAAACAAGTTATGCCTATAAAATAGCTTAGTTGGCAGAGTGCTTAATGTGTGTTAGGTTTGTTGTTATTGTTAATAATTTCCTAACCCACAGGGAAGTTCTGAGGGAAAAGGAGAGGAAGTCTATGCTCAACGTGCGGTCCGCATACAGTGGGTGCTCAGTTAATGGGCGCTGTTGTTTTCCCATGGCAGTAAGATGGGTCACTGTCTCTGACCTGGGTGGAGGCGACTTTCTTTAAGCCCCACCTGGCCATTCCGGCCACCAGGGGGCGCCCCAGCCCTGCCCGTGGCACCGCCCCCTCACCTGTGCGCCTTGCACCTGGCACCGCCTCCGGAAGAGGGGATCGGGACCGCGGGGACCTCGGAGGGAGCCGGGCGTCGTCGGGTGAGAGCCTAGGGACCGGGGCCCTTCGAGTTCAGGCCGGGGCGAGCTGGAGCGGGAGGATGGCGCGGGGCTGGAGAGGCCGGGCCTGGCTCTTGGGACCAGGAAATGGGGGACGCCGGCAGGAAGTAAGGAGGTAGCTGGGTTTCCGATGCCTAGGGTTGGGGGTCAAGGGGCTGGGGGCCCTGACGCCTGGGCACCATTTACTAATGGTAGCTCGGTGAGGGGAGAGGCAAGGAGAAGGGATGCTCTGAATCCCAGAGCTGGGATGGGCCGCGGAGGCCACGTTAGGGGGACCCCCACCCCCACCCCCGTCCAGCCTGTGGGCGGCTGGGCTAGGACTACCGCTAACACCTGGGTCCCACAGGTAGGCCTGGGGCTGGACACCTGGCAAGGGGAGGAGAGGAAGAGACAGGTGTGTGTGTTTGTGTGTTTAGGGGGTGGGGAACCTCAGAAGGGCTGGAGGAGGGAACATAGCAGGGAAGCCCCTGGCATCCCTGCCCTCCTGAGCCCAGAGCCCCTGAACTGCCAGGCCCTGGCAGCCCTAGGGGAGCGCCACGAGGCTCCCGTCCCCAGGGCCGGGAGGGGAGTAAACAGAAACCTGGTGTGGCAGGGCAGCAGTGCCGGCACAACCTGTTACCTCTCCCGCCCGTGGCCTGGGAACCTGGGGGGCTGGGGGCCTGGGCACCTGAGTTCCGAGGGGTGGGGACATAGGACATCAGGAGAACAAGGGCCAGGAGGACAAGGGGGCTGGTATGAGAGCATCTGGGTCTCCAGGAACTGGGAACCTGGGCCTGGGCTTCTGGAAGAAGAGGAAGGGGCTGGATTTCTGGGGGTTAAGGGCTCAGGACACCTAAGTTCCCATGGCCCTGGATACTGGGGAGAAGGGGCTGGACTTATCCCTGAGTCCTGAGTCTCAAGAACCTGGGTTCTGGGAAGAGTTTCCCAGCTGGTGAGGGACTGGGAGCCATAGCAGCTGGGTTCTGGGAAGAGGGGGCAGGGGCAGTTGGTGGGGTGGCCTGGAGTTCTGGAGCACTGGGACAACGGTTTCCTGGGGCAGGAAATGTCTGCCAGGGGCAGAAGGCTGGGCAGCTCCCTTCCTGCTTCCTCCTGCCTCAGTTTACCTTGGAGACATTAACGGAGCTGGGTGGCCAAGACATAGATCATTAACCCTTCATGGCCCAGGGAAGCACTAGTGGCAGGACTGAGAGGGCCAGTGGGCAGGGGAAGAATTGCAGGAGAGCCACATCTTGGCCAGTGGGGGTGAACCCCGCTGGGCTGCTGAGTAGAGGGTCCTGCAACTACGTCTCCCCACAGACCTACCTGTCCCTACAGACGCTGCAGGCACCATGAGTTCCCCAGAAGGGCCAAGCTTCCCGTCGGGGTTGCTCTCTGGGGGCGCCTCCCCCAGCGGCGATGAGGGCTTCTACCCCTTCGTGCTCGAGCGGCGGGACTCATTCCTAGGAGGGGGCGCAGGGCCTGAGGAGCCTGAGGACCTGGCCCTGCAGCTGCAGCAGAAGGAGAAAGACCTGCTGCTGGCCGCCGAGCTTGGCAAGATGCTCCTGGAGCGCAATGAGGAGCTGCAGCGGCAGCTGGAGGTGCTGAATGCCCAGCACTCTGAGCGTGAGGAAGTGAGCTGGCAGCAGAGGGCAGGCGTGGGCAGATGGGGGACAGGTGGCAGGGACCAGGTGGGGGTGGGGAGGAAAGCTGGGCAGGGGGAGACCCCTGAACAGCAGTTCAGGGCTGGGACCATTCCTCACACACACCCCTGGTCATATTGTCCACTGGTTAAGAATATGGGCACTGAGGACAAGTCAGGACCTGGGTTCAGATCCCCGCCTGGCTGTGTGGCTGTAGGAAAGCTGCTGGTCCTCTCTGAATCTTGGGTCTGGTTCCTCAGCAGTAATCCCAGCCAACATTTCTGGGGCGCCCCCTCCTTGCTTGGCTCAGTTCCTGGGTGCCCCCTCCCTGTCTGGCTCTGGGCTAGGCACTTTCCACCCATCACTTCAGTCAATTCTTACCCAATTCTGAGATACAAAAAGTTCTCTCTGCCCAGGCTGTTGTCAGCCACCCTCTCACCCTGGCGGTCACATCTGGCCCCCTAAATGCCCTGGACACCACTGACTCCTGTATCCACATCGTCAGCCCCACACCCTCTCCACCTGGCCAGATTGGGCATCTCAACATAAGTGGCACTGGATTCCATGACCCATCACTTGCCGTCCCCATCCCAGCTTCCTACTGCAGGACCTGAGTCCCCGTGACCTCTCTCCTTCCACATCGACAAGCCCTGCTGATTCTTCTGCAAAACTAGAGTTCGAGTCTCCCCACTTCTCATTGTCTCTCCAAGCAGGCCGTAGCCTCATCGTCTCTGCCACAGACACTGCAGCCGCCTCCTCACTGGCCCCCAGCTTCCACTCTTGCTCCCTGGAGCCCTTTCTCCACACGGCAGCCAGAGGGATCTTCAAAAATTCAAAGTCAGATCATTTCAGTCCTTGCCCAGAATCTCCCAGTGGCTCGCCTCACATTTAGAATGAAACTGAAACTCTTCCCCACATCCCTAAACATCCCATGTCACCTCCCTGACCTCATCTCAGCCGCACAGCTCCTCCTCTGAAGGGTCCTTTTTTCACTTCCTTGAGTAACCCAAGCTTGTTGCCTCAGGGCCTTTGCACGTGAAGTCCCTTGCTGTGGCCCTCTTCCTTCTTGCCCTGCAGGAGTCAATTTAGGCATTACTTCCTCCTGAAGGAGCCCTCACCCACTGCTCTTTATCACTTCTCAGAGTCTCTTTATAGCCCTTAATGTTCCCCCTCCGAAACTACCTGGTTCAAGAATGTGTCCATTTGCCTGTGACCCTCTGGACTCTAAGCTGCTTGAGACACAACTTGGTGGTCTCGCTTACTGCTGACAGCCAGACTCCAAAACAGGGGGGCTCAGGAAACATGGGATGGATGGATGGATGGATGGATGGGACTTGGAGATATTAGGAGACTTTCCTAACCACAAAGCAGCAGCAGAGCTGGGCACTGGCCAGGATAATCAGACCCCGAACCTGTGGGCTTAATCCTAGTTATATTGCCCCCGCAGTATTCAGTTAGGGGCTTGGCTGCCTGGGTTAGAATCCCAGCTCCACTAACTCACTGTGTGTCCTTGGGCAAGACATGTGACCTCTCTGAGGCCAGTTTTCTCATCTGTAAAATGAGGACGTTAAGGATTCTAACTCAAAGAGAGTAAATAAAACAATACAGCTAATGCGCTAGCCCAGGACCCTGCAGGAGCACCTGCTAATACTTGGAACAGCTGTGGTTAGCATCGTCTTCCTGTTTTGTGAGTCCATAGAGTAGGGGGCAGAGGCTGGCCCCCTGGCTTGCCCGCCTCCCCAGGCTGGGCATCTGGGTGTGCCAGGAGCATCCCCCTGCTGGTTAGACAGGTTTTGGGGAGGGCAGGCAGAGGCGTGGGGCCAGGGTGGGGCTGAGCAGGGTTAATTAGAGGGAGCTGGCCGGTGGGAGCTGGGGAAGAGGGGCTGAGCAGAGGCTGAAGCTTCAGAGCCCCTGGAACACAGGTGCGTGGGGCCATGGGCCGAGGCTTAAATTCTGCCAGACTCAGGCGTCAGAAACGGCGCCTGCGGCCTCGGGTCCAGAAGCCCAGGCGGCAACCAGAGGTGAGTGGGCATCCAAGTGGCCCCACCCCACTCTTGCCCAGGGTCAGACCCTCCTGGCAACTTCTCTCTACCACTCCCCCCCTTCTCCTACTGCCTGAGCCTGAGTCTTGCTCTCTCTGCCCACTTCCTCCCCAGCACTCTCCTGTCTCATGCCTGCCCCAGACCCCTCTCTTTGGGTCTCTGTCTCTCCATCTCAGTCTCTCTGTGTCTGCTCCAGTCTCACCTCTCCTCTTCTGTCTCTGACCCTCTGTCTCGGCCCCCACAGCAGCTGCAGCAGGAGAACCATGAGCTCCGCCGGGGCCTGGCAGCACGGGGAGCTGAGTGGGAGGCCAGGGCTGTGGAGCTGGAAGGGGACGTGGAGGCCCTTCGGGCCCAGCTTGGGGAGCAGCGTTCAGAGCAGCAGGACAGCGGGCGTGAGCGGGTGCGGGCCCTCAGTGAACTCAGCGAACAGAACCTCCGGCTCAGTCAGCAGCTGGCCCAGGTGGGACAGCCCTGACCCCAGGTCCTTGGGCAAGGAGAGGGCAGATGCCTGGGTCCTGGTTGGGGTGGGTGCGCTGGGCTTGTTGTTCAGACTGGGGCCAGCTGATGACTCCACTGCCTCCCTCCACCCCTCAGGCCTCCCAGACTGAGCAGGAGCTTCAGAGGGAACTGGATGGCCTACGGGGGCAGTGCCAAGCCCAGGTCCTGGCTGGGGCAGAGCTGAGGACACGGCTGGAGAGTCTGCAGGGGGAGGTGAGTGCTGGCTGGGGCTGGGGGTCTATTGGGCCAGAAGGACTGGATAGGGGGCTATCTGGGGCTAGCCTAGCACTTCCAATCCAGCTCTGAGGCCTTTTCCCAGAATCAGATGCTGCAGAGCCGTCGACAGGACTTGGAGACCCAGATTCGAGGCCTGCGTGAGGAGGTGGAGAAGGGCCAGGGCAGGCTACAGGCAACCCACGAGGAGCTGCTGCTGCTACGACGTGAGAGGCGGGAGCACAGTCTGGAGGTGACTAGTGGGGTTGGGGTGGGCGGGTGCATCACCAGGGTCTTGGCCACTGCCTCTGGGCTTCCTGGGAGATGAGGCCACAACTGTGTCATTGGGAGCCCTAGCAGCTGGGCCACAAGCGAAGTGGGAGCTATGGAAGGATATTGAGCAGGGGTAGTACACTCTTAGAATCAGAGCCTGGTATGGGGAGGGTGTAGTTCAAGTGGTAGAGTGCATGCTTAGCATACACAAGGTCCTGGGTTCAATCCCCAGTACCCCCTCCAAAACTAAATATGCAAACATAATTACCTCCCCCCACAAAAAATTAAAAATTAAAAAAAAGAATCAGAGCCTGGCCATGGGGCAGAAGCCAGAGCTCAAGTCAGAGATGATGGGGGCTTGGACCAGGTCTGGGCTGTGAAGAGAGAGAAAAGGATATGAGAAGAGGCAGCATGTTCTGATGTCTGAGAGCTCAGGAGTTTGCACTTTGCAGTCAAATTACCTGGGTTCTTATCCCAGTGTCCCTTCTTATTGTGGGACTCAGTTTCCTCATCCGTGAGATGGGATGATAATGGTACAGGGCTATGATGAGGGTGTGAGACACTCAGCACATCGCCGGCTTAGAAGGAAGGATCAGTTAATACTGAATGACAGCATTAAAGAAAGGAAGGCAGACCTGTCATGGGGGGGGGTGCTTTTCAAGGTGAACTGATGGGGTGGGACTGGAGGGAGGGTGATGCGAGACTTTAAAGCCCGGGCACCCGTCGGCACCCTGCTTTATAGGTGAGTAAACTGGTATTTACCAAGAAGAACTGTGCAGCCCAAGGCTACCCAGAGATCCAGGAGTGGGAGCCAACTTTGGTGCTGGGTTTCACGGACTCGCGGGGCTGCCAGACTCTCTGAGGCACGCTGGCGCCCTCTGTGGGTCGGCTGTGGGATGCCGGCTCCGGGAGCGCACGGCTGACCGTCCTTGTTTCTGTCGGTGTGCGGGTCGGTCGCAGCTGGAACGTGCGCGCTCCGAGGCGGGGGAAGCCCTGAACGCGCTGCGGAGGCTGCAGCGACGCGTCTCGGAGCTGGAGGAGTCGCGCCTCCAAGAGGCCGACATCTCGGGAGCCTCGCTGCAGCTGGAGCTTGCCCATAGCCTCGACAGTGTCCATGACCAAGACCAGAACACGGACAGACGTGGAGACACTCTCATGAGCTCTCAGCCCACCAGCCCCGCACAGGTACCATCCAGGAGGGCTGCAGACTCCGCCCCTCCTCCTTTTCCCACGAGGTTCGACACTTCACTGACTGACTCCTTTGGTGAACAGACCACCCTGTCCCTGGAGACCCAAAAGGCATCCAGCCATCAGCCTTCGTCCCAGGAGGAGAGGTTGGAGCTACCCAGGAAGCGAGCATCCCTGAGCCCGGGGGAGATGTTGGAAGAGGAGGAGGCAGAAGCGATCCGGTTGCAGGATGAGGTGGGGAGGAACATAGGACTGGATGCAGAGCCCTTCTCAATGTCAGTTTCTCTTTCCCATCTACACCTCCGAGCCTTTGCCCACTATCTCCCTCTACCTGGATAGCCCTTCATTCCAACAAACCTGCAAATCATGTTTCTAGAGCCAGTCTGTATGTCATCTCCTCCAGGAAGACTTCCTGGGCTACACTCCCCACTTAGTCGTACCTCCAATGCTTCTCCATCCTTTCTGTAGGCTTATACCACCCAACTAGCCCTGACCCACCCCATCCGGCCACAGTCTAGGGGCTCAGAAGATTCATCTTCAGCACAGGACCACAGCTGTAGGGGGTTGTTTGTGGAGGAGACGGGGATGGGCGGGGAGGAGGGCAGAAGAGTGGGACGGTGAGATGGAACCCGGGCTAGGATGCCAGGGCCTACTCGCTTCTCTGCACCCTCCCCTGCCCGCAGATCACGCTGCAGCGGGCAGAGCTACAGTCCCTGCGGGAGGAACTGCAAAGGCAGAAGGAACTGAGGGCTCAGGACCCTGAGGAGGCCTTAAGTGATGCTCTCTCTGACCGGGACGAGGCCGTGAACAAGTGAGCTTCTGCCACCATCCACCACCGCCCCAGGGGGACTACCGGCCCCCAGGACACTCTGGCCTTTCTAGACCTCCAATACCCCACGCATGATATGGGATATAATTATCCTCACTCGTACCGGGAGCCCTCTGACCTCCCTGGTTTCTGTATCAGCGGCCCCACTTCCGTCTGGGTTCAGGGTTCTACCCCTCTCCCCCTTCTCCCCTAAAGGCTCGCTGACGCCCCATCGCCCTTGGACCCGTTTTCTGCCTACAGGGTCCTGGAATTGTCCCTGGAGCTCAGCCGCGTTTCTCTGGAGCGGGACTCCCTCTCCCGGGAGTTGCTTCGCACCATCGGCCAGAAGGTGGCGCTGACGCAAGAACTGGAGGCCTGGCAGGTGAGAGGGCAGACGGGGGCCGACGGGGCGGAACAGGCAGGGGCGGGGCCAGATGCTGACCCGCCCCTCTGGCTCGGCTGACCCGCCCCACAGGACGACATGCAGGTGGTCATCGGACAGCAGCTGCGCTCCCAACGCCTGAAAGAGTTGAGTGCGGCCGGTTCCACCCCGCGCCGCGCCCCGCCGCGCTTCTCACTGCGCTTGGGCACTGGGCCCTCCGGCGGCTTCCTCAGCAACTTCTTCCGAAGGACCTGAGGGCCGGGTGGAGGGGGCCCCCTTTGCCCTCTTTGGCTCACTTTCCTCTTCTGGCCAGTGGAGCGACGGCCCCGATCGTCTGCCAAAGGGGGCTGATGCCCTCCCCGCCCTGAAAGGCTTAGCAGGGGCTCACTGGGAGCAAGTGCCAGCTTTGGGGGCCAGAGACCCCAGGTGGGTGGCAGAGGCAGGGGTGGCAGAGCTGTTTTTCGAATCTATATAGGACTACTTTTTCTAGGCACTAGGCCCCCTGGCCCTGGCAAGCACCAGAACCGGGTGGGGGTGGGTATTTATGTATCAAAATCAGACAGAGTAATATATACATCATTACACCGACTTGGCTTCCATTCTTGGTAAGAACGTGCATGAAAGAAACGCCTGAAATTTTATTTGTATAAAAAAAGAAAACACACTCCGAACCCGATAGGGAGATGGGAGTGTCGCTGGAGGTCAGAAGGACAGGGAGAAAGCTCGGTAGCCCAGATTGGTGAAGACATCCACCCTGCAGCTGTTGCCGGCGGCTGTCAGGACCTAGAGGCAAGAGGGGAGTGACTGACCTGCCCACACACCCTGGCTTCTCAGTACCCCCACTGCCCCTGGCAGGACCCACCTTGCACTCAGGGGCTGCTGGTTGCTGGTTTAGGCTGAGGCTTAGCAGCCCTGGGGAGGAGCCAGGCACCTGGGCCTTGAGCTCCCCACTAAGCTGCCACTGGTTGACACAGCGACCTTGGCCAGCTGACAGAATCTGTGGATGAGAGGGAGGGGGCCCAGGGTTCAGGGCTGGAGGGGGAGAGGGGCGGGGCAGGGAGGGGCAGGGCAGGCAGAGTTGAGAGACAGGCCCTCACCAGGTCCTGGTAGAAGGTGACGTGCTTCTGTGGTGCCCGCATTGGGAAGACGGTGGTGGGTGTGGAGGATCGGAGGTGCCAGAGGGTGAGTGCCGGGCCACCTCCACAGACCTGTGCAGAAAGGTGGAGGTGGGGTCCCCAGCTACCGTGAGCCACAGGCCCTCAGCTGGACAGGGCCCAGCACTGCCACAATGCCCCATCCTGCATTCTGCCCGGCTCACCATCCAGTCTGAGTCAGTTGCCAAACATCCGATCCAGCGCCCATTGTGGGGCCTCGAGCACTCCTGGAAGGGAGGAGAAGAAAGGGGAAGGTGAAGACACAAGGAATGTCCAGGAAGGAAGAAGGGAGGGCAGGGTGTGAGGTATGCCCTCACCTCGTGCTTGTAGACCTCAATTGTCTGGACCTCCTTGGCTGTGCGGAGGTCTGCAGGGGAAGAACCATGAGAGGCTGGCACCCTACTTGCCCCAGCCTCCCTCACCACCACCTTTCCCTCCAATCAGACACTCCCTTACCCCAAAGCCGCACAGCCCCATCCTCACCACCTGACAGCACCTCGGGGCTCCGCTCCCGCAGTGCCAGGCAGTGGATGTAGTCAGTGTGGCCCCGGAGAGCCCGCTGTAGGGAAAGGGAAGTGTCAGGACAAGATCCAGGAAGAATGCCACTGCCCCTGGCCCCGACCTTGACCCCTCCATATCCACAGCCCTCTCACCATGAAGGTCCCCGTCTCAAGGTCCATAGAATGCAGCTGACAGTCTCCCCCAGCCAGGATGAGGGAATTCTCCTGCGGAAGAAGGCAGGGAGGGATCAGAAGTCAATGGACAGGGAGAGGGAAAGGATTAACATTTGGGCCAAGAAGAGGGCAGGGTAGAGCCCCAATTATAAAGGGCTCAAACCTTGGGGACGAGAAGCAAAGCATTGATCTCAGGTACTTCCAGGCTGGTCCTGGGGGAAGGAAAGTAGAGTCAGCTCTAGAGGCGGTACCTTCACCCCCACGTGCCCTCTGCCCACATGGCTCACCTGTATGGGGGCTGACGACGCCACAGCTCCTTACAGCCCTTAATGGAGGGAAACACTGGGTGACCTCAAAGGCTCTCTCTAGATCTGGGCACCTCACCCTTCTCCCAGCTCCACACTTACCTTCTTGAGGATCTCCGCCCAAAGCCAGGCCTTCACTTCCCCATCCCCAGCACTGAGCAGATGTCGATCAGTGGAGACCATGCTGTAGACAGGCCCATCATGGGCTAAATGGAAGTGCAGAACCTGAGTGACCCTGTCCAGCTCCTCTTGTCCACCCTGGGGTTCCCTAAGCCAGACTCAATGGCTGCACCCACCTTGGAAGGTCACCATGGGCTTCTTACTTTCCTCTTTGGCCTCAGAGCTCAAAGCAGCAGACAAGCTGAAAGAAGAGGCGAGAGGGGCCTGAGAGTCAAAAGCGGGGGTCATCAGCCCCAGGAGGGCCAAGTGCCAGAGCTAATGGATGGTGGGGAGCAGGGGCAAGGGTACCTAAAGATGGCTATCTGCCCGTAATTGTTGCCAGCTGCCAGGAACTTCCCACAAGGTGAGACACTCTGGGAGAAAATGGTCATGTGCAGCCGCTGCAGAGCCTGAAATACTTCCATCTGTGGAGAGAGACTGGATGAAGGCTATCTGGGGCCTCCGATCCACAGACTCCTTCCTTCCTGCTTCTCCTGCCTCCAGTTCAGCCCAGACTTCTCAGTCCTCCTTTAAGACAGCCTACCAACAGGCACCTGACCAGACAGTCCCAGGGTGGGCTCCAAGAAGGAGGTGAGGAAAGGGAGAGTTAAGGCTTGATGCCTAGTGGAACTTTGAGCAAGCACTTAGCCCCTCCATCAGGTGTCCCTAATTGTTATATGGAGCTCACAGGAGATTTTGTGAAGACTGAATAAGCTACTGTACGCACAGAGCTTCGCACAGGGCTGCCTCGGAGAAACCGCTTAAAAAGTGGCCCTATTACTTTCAATGCAGAAAAACGTACTGACTTCTAATCTCTATCCTCTGACTTTCATCTTAGGCCCCTGAGCTATTTCTGGGTTACTCTCCCTCCCCCGGGTCAGAAGCCAGTCCTACAAACAACACACTCAAAACAGGCCTCAGAGCACGACTCCTTGCCCGCCCCTTCCCAGCCGGCATGAACTACAAACCCCAGAAGGCACCGCGCACCACGCCCCCCTCACCTGACCCAGAGGCACGGCGTGCAGCACAGCTCGCTCCATCTCCAGAACTAAAACTCCCAGAGTGCTCCGCGCGCCAGGCAGCCTCACGAGTCCGGAAGTGCCGAAGAGCGTCTCCCCTTAGCGGCGCCCCACCTTCTAACACTGCTGGCCGGCCAGGGGTGAAGGCGGCCGCCGCGTAACCCGAGCCCCAGGAGTGGAGGTGGACCGCCAAGAAGAACCCAACACCAAGTGGCGCCCACCGCAGCCGTACTACCGGACACCCACCCCCACCCCCCGGAACACACCCGCCTCCCAGCCGCGTGCCGACCGTCCGTCTTCTGCGGCTGCGCGGAAGCTGGCCTCTGCGCGGGCCTAAAACCACGCCCCACGCGTTGGGTCACGCCCTCAGAGGCTCCGCCCTGCCTCCCGGCTCCCGCCCCTGTCTCCCGGCTCCCGCCCTCCGCTCGCAGGCCCCTACCCAAATGATCCGCAGCAACCCCTGGAGCCGAGGACCCCCAGGGTCGGGCCCAGCGCCACCCGCGGGCCGCCTCGGGGGTGCCCCGAGGCCTGGACGCGAGGTGTGTGTGGGGTTCCTGGGTGGGCCCGGCCCAGGGGCCCAGAACCCCAGGAGCCTTGGCTGGGGCCTCAGGGCTGGTCCACAGGCTGACACGCGGTGGGGTGAATCGGCAGGGCTTAGGTATGAGCTGAGACAGGGTTGGAGACTAAGGGCTGAGACGTCCGAGGCCGACTTTTGGGTGGTCTGGGGGTGAGGGTGAAGGAGGTGACTTAGGCGTCAGCTGAGACAGGGACCGGACGGGATGGGGGCTCCTGGCTGACGCTGCAGGCTTAGGCGGGCAGATAGATCCTGGGTAGGGGCTAAGAGGGTGGGGTGCTCCTGGCTCTCTTTTCTTCCCAGCTCCCCTCTCCGAGGAGCTGTGCCCATGAGCACGAAGCGGCGCCTGGAGGAGGAGCAGTGAGTTTGGGGGCAGGGAGGGACTCCCAACAAGACCTCTGTCAACCCAGGTCCCCATCAGACTACCTCTCCTCTGAATATCCCAGCCTTCCTGCCTCCCTGTCTCTCCCCAGGGAGCCCCTGCGCAAGCAGTTCCTGTCTGAGGAGAACATGGCCACCCACTTCTCTCGACTCAGCCTGCACAATGACCATCCTTACTGCAGCACCTCCATGGCTTTCCCCCCAGCTCTGCCCCCACTCAGGTAGGCACCATCCACAAGCCACTGGCTGGGCCTTCTGGAGGATTATACCGTCTTCAGAGCCAAACTCCAGGCTCTGCCTCATCCTGCTATTTTTAGTTTCTAGTCAACCTCCGTTATTCCCCATCTTGACTCCTTGGAAGGTGCCAGTAGCCCAAGAGCCCCTGGGGACCTGAACCAGGTCGGGGGGAGGGGTGGGGGTGGCGGTGGCTCTGTCAGGCCAGCCTCAGCCCTGTACCCTGACTGTCATTTCCTCTTCCAGAAGCCCTTGCTCAGAGCTGCTTCTCTGGCGCTACCCTGGGAACCTGATCCCTGAGACGCTCCGGCTGCTGAGGCTGGGGGGACACACCCACCCCCAACTACCCTGCAAGCCCAGCTGGAGACATAATGGAGCTCTGAGGGCTGGAGGGGGGGGCGCCATGACCCTGCCCACCTTCCTTCTTCCCCACAACAGGGGAGACCAGCACTTCCACGAAGGGACAAGCGGCCCTGCTTTTCTTCCAGACCAGGCCTCTGGGCACCAGAACCTTCCCCCAACAGAGGAGGACACTGAGCCCCACGGAGCCCTGGGGTGGGAGGGGCAGGAGCATGGGAAGGGAGGCCTTCCCCACTGGAACTGAATAAAGATTGCAGAGCAAATGAAAGCTTCAGTCTGGAACCCAGGGCCTTTGGGAGAGGGAGGGAAGGGTTTGGGTACTGGATGCTGGGGTTTCTCCTCAACATCCCTGGAAAAACGGTCAGGACCCCGCCAGGTCCTGGCAGGCTGGGCTCAGGCATTGAGAATGTGTGAGTCAGAGCCTCACCCCCACCCCCGCGGCTGACTCACTCCTCCCTCCAGCTCTTGGAAGTCAAGCTGGGGATCGTGCCACTCTCCAAACCATTTAAAGTTAAAGATTCTTTTATTAATAAATCCCCCAAAAAAACTTTCTCCCCACAATAAATATCTCCCCTCCTTTGGGGGTTGGAGGAGCAGTGTCTTAAGGACCAGCCCCACTAGAGGGCCAGCCCCCTAGTGTTAGGAACAGGTCCCTAACCCCCCCAGGCTGAGACCCCCGTGCTGGAATTTCAGTACATCTGAGTGGGTGGGGCCTGGTATTGTGTCTGTCCCTCAGGTCAGCCTGGCCCCCAGGCCATAGTGGGTGTAGGGGACCCTTGTGCAAATGCTGCAGTTCCTTAGTGTCAGCTGTCTGGCGTGAGTCAGGGTCTCCTTTTCTATTCTGGAGCCAGAGACAAGGCAGTCAGACACCTTGGAAGTCTCCTCTGAAGCCTGGGCCCAGGCCTCAGAGAGGTGATTCACCCGTCCCCCAATCCCTCCACTCCTGTTGTTGGAGTGGCCTGGTTCTGGCTGTGTCTGGGAAGCAGGGGCTGGCTCCAGAATGAATGAATGGATGATGAGTGGGCGCGGCCTCCTCTTGGCAGGGGGTGCTCACTGTCACTGGATCAGCGCCACGCCAGGACAGCCCTCCCCGCCTGTCTCCTCGATGGGGGCTGCAAGATAAAAAAGAAGGGGCATCAAGAGTGGGGAACATGTTGAGGAATGATGGTGGGGGGGCGGTGGGTGAGCCAGGGCACACTTACTGGTAAACTTCTCTCTCCTGCGGCACCGTCTCCAGACCAAGAAGCCAGAAAGCAGTGCCAGCACCAGCGCCAGGCTCAGGGCACCCCCCAAGATGGGCCACAGCAGCCTGAAAGAGGCCGGAGGGGCCGCAGCGCCTGGGAGCAGGACTGAAAGTCAGACCTCGCCCCTTTCCGGACCAGCTCCGCCCCCTAGATCTGAACCTCAAGCCTTTCCTCCACCGTGGCCGCTACACAGGTCAGAACCCCTTCCTCACTCCAGCGTCCCCTTGATTGATTCCCCAGATGTGAAGCTCCCTGGTCCCCTCTCAACCGCAGCAACTCTCTCCCGCCGCCTGGGGTCTGCTCGCCTCTAACCCCGACCCTACTCACAGCCCAGGCAGAAGTCGCTGTTCGGTCGCGTGGGGCACGACGCGCAGTCCATGCACTTGTCTAGGTCCGCGCTCCAGGAGCTGCCGCGAGAGCAGGGGGTGGTTCCTGGGGAGGGGGCCGTGGGTCAGAGGCTGGGGGCGGGGCTCGGCTATTTTGGGGGCTGAGGTCAGGGTCGGCCGGCTCGAATAACGTGAGTCACCGGCGCCCTTCCCTCTGCATTCCACACAGGTGACCGCACGGCCCGACCAGGACACGGCGGTGCGGGAGAGAGGAGGCCGTAGTGCGGGGGGGGGGTCAGGTCCCCATACCCCCCCGCCGCCGGCGGGTGACTCATTCCTGGGCACCGGGCCCGACCCTAGTCCCTCCCCCCGCATAGCTGGGCACTGAAGTCACCGGATGAAAGGGGGCACCCCGCATGGTATAGGGGGCACAGGCCTCCGTGCCTCTCAACACCCCCACCCTCACTGTTCAGTCACTGGGGCTGGGCAGACCCGGTATTGATCAGCCTGGGGGCGTGCCGCCTTACCCAACGGGACATCCCTCCCTCAAACTTTCTTTCTCTCTCCACTTCTGAATCCAGACTCTCAGGGCAGAAGCCCTCCCGTCCTCACCAAGTTTGACAGGCAGGAAACTGAGGCTCGGAGCGAGATGGGACCTCTCCTGACCAGGAAGTGCGGTGTGTGGAGAGACCACCTGACCCCGGATCTCCATGTCAGCCAATTTCCCCCCACTCTGGCCCCTCCTCTAGGCCCCCAATGCCGGCTCCCCAACTCCGGACCAGGGATTCCCCTAGCCCCCACGCCCTCCCGTCCAGCCCCTGCCGGGCATACCTGGCACTCTCTCCCCGGCCGCGGCGCCCAGCAGCACCAGCCCGAGACCCAGCACGAAGAGCCGCAGCAGCGGGCATAGCGAGCCAGGAACCATGGTGCTCCTCGGGCGGCCGCTGCCGTCTGGGCTCGCCACCCGCGGACCAGGACAGACAGCAGCGGCCCCGCCCCCGCCCCCGCCTTCCGGGGCGGATCCCTCGCCTCTGCCCGCCCCGCGATCCACCCCTGGACGCCCCCGCCCTCCTGGCAGACTAAGTTCAGTCATTCACTCAACAAAAGCCGTCTCCGTGCGTAAGGGGCCAGAACGCCAAAGGGATAATACAGATCCAGCCCTATCTTCTCCGTGCTGAAGCCCAGGAGGTGTGTGTTGGGCTATGGCGGGGAGTCTGACACAACCCATCACAGAGATAACTGCAGCTTGCTTTCTTTTTAATTCTTCTTGGGGGGAGGAAAGGGGAGTAATTAGGTTTACTTATTTATTTATTTTTAATGGCGGTACTGGGGATTGAACTCAGGACCCCGTGCATGCTAAATACGCAATCTACCATTGAGCTATACTTGCACCGCTAACTGCAGCTTTCTTAAGGCCTGAGGGTATGATAATAACAATAAAACAAAAATAATACTGTGCCCTTTTAATTTACACCTTAGGACATAGTTACATAGTAAAATGTGGGCTTGTCGTCTCCATTTTGCAGAGTAAAATTAGGCTTTGAAAGATTAGGTGGGCTTCAGAGTCGAGACCCGAGTTTTTTTCCGCTCCTCGCCCTACGCCTTGACCCACTGCCGGCCAGACTTCAGGCAGGTAATGCCCCCCGGACCCGGGCCAGACGCCGAAGCAGCGGCTCCGTCCTCGAGCGCCCGCTACTGGCGGGGTTGGGATTCGCGCGTCCGCTGCTATCTGGACTGGGGTCTCTGCCCCTCCTGGAGGCGTTGGTCCGGTGACGTCACTGCCTCTTTAAGACCCCCCAGCTCCGCCCCCATCCTCACACTCGGCCGGCTACTTCGAATCTTTGTGGACTCCTTCACAGGTAAGCCTGGCGGAAGGGTGCATGTTGTGGAGGAGGACGTAGATGCCTCGCAGAGAGGGTTACAGGGGGCATGGCGGCTTTGGGTTGGGGTGCATGTGAAGAACCTGGACGTATCTGATGGCAGCCACTCGGGGCGGCGAGTCCCTGGTTGGGGGCTGCACCTAAACCTCGGCCCTGATGGGATCCTTCGGCAGAAAGGTTAAACGCCCCTCCCCCCTTCCCGGGGACAAAGGCACCGAAACCTGGGCGCCCCTCCCCCACCTGCGCTGCTCTCCGGGGCGGGGTTCCTCCCCTTCACCAGTCGGGAGAGGACCCTGCTGCTAGCGCCGCCATTGGACCCTTCCAGGGCGTACGGCTTCCAGGCTTGAGGGCTGAGGACACCTTCCTTTGGGCCAGCTCAGAAGGGAAATAGAGATGGAGAGCGGGAGGGGACTGGGCTGCTTACTTTTGCACTCATATAAGCCAATGCCTGTCACATAACTAGGGGGAGAAAAATGCTGAAGCATTAAACGTTCATTTTCCCTGTGAGAAAATGAGGCTTAGGGAGCATGCCTTGCCCACATCACAGGACATGGTATCCTGACTCCTAGGGTTCATACGTTTGGTATCCTGTGTGTTGGCCATGGCATGTGGCATGGGGGTTAGAACTAACTGGGAACGAGGGGACAGGGCCAGCTGGTTTTAACATTACTCTGCTTCCATCCCCCAGTGCAGTTCCTCAACCTCCACCTCACCATGGCCCTTGCTGGTCTGCAAATCCTGGGGATCGTCCTGTCACTGCTTGGCTGGGTGAATGCCCTGGTGTCCTGTGCCCTGCCCCTGTGGAAAGTGACTGCCTTCATCGGTAACAGCATCGTGGTAGCCCAGGTGGTGTGGGAGGGGCCGTGGATGTCCTGCGTGGTGCAGAGCACAGGCCAGATGCAGTGCAAGGTGTTTGACTCGCTACTGGCACTGCCCCAGGACCTGCAGGCTGCCCGAGCCCTCAGCGTCATCACTCTCCTTGTGGCCCTGCTCGGCTTTCTGATCTACCTTGCCGGAGCCAAGTGCACCACCTGCGTGATGGACAAGGACTCTAAGGCCCGACTGGTGCTCACCTCAGGGATCATCTTTGTCATCTCTGGGATCCTGACCCTGATACCCGTGTGCTGGACGGCCAACACCATCATTCGAGACTTCTACAACCCCCTGGTGGCTGAGGCCCAAAAGTGGGAGCTGGGAGCCTCCCTCTATGTGGGCTGGGCTGCCTCTGGCCTTTTGTTGCTGGGTGGGGGGCTACTGTGCTGCACCTGCCCCTCCTGGGGGTCCCGGAGCTCCAGACATTATATGGCCCGATACTCAGCATCAGCCCCACATACCACCTCCCGGGGTCCCTCTGAGTACCCCACTAAGAATTACGTCTAATTTGGGTAGAGGAGTATGGGCTCCATTGACAGTGGAGCCTAACCTCTGAGATGGAACCCTGGAGGTGGTGATCCATGACAGCTTTGGGGTTGTTTTTGCTTTTTATTTTGGGAGAAGGCAGGGGTCGTTAATCCATTTGGTAACCCATCTGGGCTCTACTACTGGTGTTCCTCACCTTTGAGTGATGGAGCCAAAGAGGTGATGCTTCAAAGTTTCTGGCTTTCTCCACCCTGGACATCCCTATCTCAGACCAACCATTGACCTGTGGGCCCTGTGTGAAGGCTGCTTGCTCTCCAGATGCTTTCATCCTGTCCCCAAGAGTTCCCACTGTTTTGGGGGGCAGGGCCTCCCTAGGCTTGCAGGGACAAGCCTTCCCGTGATGGTGAGGCCTCTGGAACCCCCAGGGGCTCTTGAGCCTCACGTAGCCTCTAGAAGAGCAGGCAACAAGTTACCAAAGAACCAACCACCCACCTCCAAGTCTTCTGATCTCTGGATCCTCCATCCTGAGTTGTTATGTCCGTGCTGTGTGACCCCTGACCCTTTTATCTCCAGCCCCTGTACACTTCTGCCATACCCTGCCCACACTCACCAGTTTTCTACTGAATAAAGCATGTTTTGTTACTTGCCTTTGGTGTTGCTGGGGGGGTGCTGCCAAGGGCCAGCCTGGCAGGAGGAGGTGGGTACAAATAGCTCATCTCCTGTGTTGCCCTGTGCCTTGCATGGCCTGAGTGAGGTTTCCCACTGGGCAGGACGTGAAGCAGGCCTTGGCCAGACAGCCCCAGGGGAGGCCACCTGGTCTTCCCAGCCCAACCACAGATCAAAGGAGCCGAGTTACAAATACTCTATTTATTCCCTACTCAAAGGAGGGGGTGAGAGGTGAGGTGATATGTTGGGACTCCTGGCTGCTCCAAGGGCCTGGCCTCAGCCTCTGGATGCTGATGGTGGTCTGGTCAGACAGAGGGGACCAACTCCAGGCCAGGGAGGGCATGAGGAGCTATTGTCCTTTGGGGTTCCTGGGGTGGAGGAGGGCTCTGAGGAAAGCTAGTCCAAATCCTGGACAGCAGAAGACAGCAACATGGGGCACGTAGGGGCAGGCCGGTGTTCCCTATCAGCTCAGGCCCTGCCTGAGTGGAAATGGGGACCCGTCAAAAGTGGGTCTAGACTCAGCCAGGCCCGCTGAGACTAGCCTTGCAGCCAGGCCTGGCTTGAGCATCTGGAAAGTGGGTTTCAGCTAGGGGAGGGGTGGACAGTACCAGGCAAGGATTAGGCACCCAGCAAAAGGTCAAGGTTCTAAGCAGCAGGCTTCCAGGGATATTCTCCACCTCATACATAGTCCCTTTTGTCCAGCCCAGATGCACCAGAGCGAGAGGGGATGGAGTAGCCCAGTCTTGGTCCGTGGGGCCGGTCGATCTGGGGCGGGGGACAGGTGCAGCACAGGAGGCCCCCTCCCAGCATGAGCAGGGCAGCCGCTGCCCAGCCCACATAGAGGGAGGCTCCCAGCTCCCGCTTGAGGGCCTCTGCCACCAGGGGGTTGTAGAAGTCCTGGATGATGGCATGCGCGGTCCAGCAGACGGGGATGAGCACCAGGATGCCCGAGAGAAGGAGGATGACTCCCGCTGTGAGCACGATGCGGGCCTTGGCACCTTCATCCTCCACGCAGGTTGTGCACTGGGCGCCTGTGATGGCCACCAGGAGGCCAAGCAGAGCCAGCAGAAGGGCGATGATGCAGAGGGCTCGGGCTGCCTGCAGATCCTGGGGCAGCGCCAGTAGCGAGTCGTACACCTTGCACTGCATCTGGCCTGTGCTCTGCACCACACAGGACATCCACAGCCCCTCCCACACCACCTGGGCCACTACGATGCTGTTGCCAATGAAGGCAGTCACTTTCCACAGGGGCAGGGCACAGGACACCAGGGTCCCCAGCCAGCCCAGCACAGCCAGGGTCATGCCCAGGAGTTCAAGGCCAGTTGAAGCCATCTGCCTGCCTTGGTTAGGTCTTCTCACTCTAGGAGGCCTGGTTGATTCAGTGGAGTGGGTCAGATGCTTCTGGTGGCGGGTGGTCTCGGTGCCCAGCAGGAGCTTAAGTCAGCGTCCTCCGACCAAGACAGTCCTCACATCAGTGGGCCTCCTGCAAGTCACTTCCTAGCTCCGTGCCCTTCACAGATGTGTCTCTGACCCTTGACAAACACTAATCAGTCTCACAGTCCTGAGTGGCTGAGTGGCTGGTGTTCCTTTGAGGGGGCCCGTCGTCCTTCAGATGCCCAATGGCTGCTGTTCCTGCCACCCTGCAGTCACGTCCCGGCTGCCGCTGGCCTGACCCAGCTTGCCTGGACCCTCCCGACCCACCTTCAGGCTGAAGAGAGCTGCATCCCCACCGGCTGGTGCAGGTTCACTCTGAGTGGCTTATCCTGGCGGGTGGCACCTGGGAACTCTGCTGACTCTCAGCTGCAGGCGGGGTTTTAAGGCTGAGGCAGGGGAGGAGCAGCACGATGCTACAACAGAGGAAGCCAGAGTTACAGGAAGGAGGCGGGGCTGAGGATGGGGGGCCTTGGGGTCAATGGGGGTGCTTGTGATTGGGAAGGAACAGGGGAGGAAAGAGCATCCATGGGATGGGAGGGAAAAACACAGGCACAAAGGAACTGGGAGACTGAGGACTGGCTGGGGAGTAAGGAATGGGGGCAATAAAGTCACTGGCTCAGGACAGGAGTGGGAGGGTGCCTTGGCCGCCTTCCTGAGCCACCTGCCAGCCACCATTAGCTTTGCTGCCCCCACCCCATTTTGTTTTGTGATGCAAAAGTACCTATTTCCCCCAGTATCGCCCACCCCGCCCCTCTCCCCCTGCCCCCCCAGCCAGGGACTCTCTGGAATCCAATCTGTCTCTTGTCTCAGCCCAGTGGCCCCGGTGGCTCCCGAGGGAGGCACCCCGCCCTCACTGTTCCCCGGGTGACAGGTGCCTGGCGCCAAGCTCAGGTGGCATCACCCAGGCAACGGCCTAGAAAACCACCCCCCTTTCTGCTTTAGCTCAGGTGTGCCTACCCCTCCACCCCTGCTGAAACTGGGGGCTGAGCTGAGCTGCTGAAGGAGTCTGGGGGCCAGGGGATAAAAAGCCTGCTGTTGGGGTGGGGGAGGGGCACACAGGAGCCTTGGTGGGGGAGGGGGGGAGTAGCAGGGGCCGAGCTCTCAGTTGAGGAGCAGCCCCAGAACCCAACTCAATTCCTTGGGTAGCGAGACACCACAACGGAGGGCAAGGGGGGTAAGGCCCAGTGACCCAAGCTTCCCAGAGCCCTGCCTCCCCCTCCTCAGGAAAGACACCCCTCTTGAAGACCCCTAGGAGCCAGTGACTCCCCTCTCCGGGTGGAGGGACAGCCTGGGAGTCACACAGACCAAGGCTCAAATCCTGCCCCCGACCTGGGGCCAGATCTCAGAATGTCAAAGTCCTTAGCCCCCTTGGGTCAAAGACCCCTTTGAGAAACCTCATGGGACCCACAAACAGGACCCCTCATTTTTGGGAGGATCATGAGCTCCTTCAAGCCCCTTCCTGGGTGCCAAGAACTGATGATTATTCTGTGAAAAGGGAGTTGGAGGCTGATGAAAATTCCACTTTCCAGGGTGGCAGGGAGGAGTGTCCCAGGGAGAACCTCTCACCGCCACCCCTCCTCCTGCAGAGGCTGGAGCCGACTGGCCAGTGGGGGCAGGGGTGGGAGGCTCCCCAGGGCACACCTGGTCTATGGCCCTGGGGGAGGGGAGGGGTGCTAGGTGGCCAGTGGGGCTTTATTTATAAAGGATTTTTAATTTCAGGTGGGTGCATTGCTTCTGGGAATGGGTTTTAGCATTTTGCGGGAAGAGAGGTTGATATCCTCAGATTTGCAAAGGGGTGGGTGCTCCAGGAAAGCATGAGAACCCTTCTTCCTAAAATGGAGAAACTGAGGCCAGTGCCAATCAGCAGGTCTGACAGGTGGGCTCCAGGGAGTGGGACTTTTCCATGCCTGGTGCCTCCCCACAGAGAGACAGTGACCGTCCAGTCTGGGGCTGACCTGATGGCCCCAGGACGCCTGAGGAGAGGAAGGAGGATGCTGATAGCTGGCTGGAAAAGGACCAGAGGTCCCTCCTGGCTGTGATGGGTAGAGGGAACCCTGCGTGGGTTTTCCAGGTCATTCAGCCCCCAAGGCCTCAGATCTCACAGGGGCAGGGGGTGGCTGAGAAGAGCAAATAGAGGTAAGTCTTCAGGGGGGTCCCTCTGGGGCCACCAAGAATCCAGTCACACAGGTTTGGGCAGGTGGTAGGAGGCCAGCCCGGATCTCTGGAGGGCCCACCAACCTGCACAAAAGGCCTCCGTCCTGGGCAGCCCCAGCCCAGGACCTTTTCTCTCCCCAGGCCCAAAGAGAGTTTGACTCTTGCCTTGGGCATAAATGATCAACTGGTCCTGATCTGCCTGGGACTTTTCTGTCTTGAACACTGAGTCCTGCATGGCAGCGGGGTTGGGGGGAAGGGATCATTAATCAGCCTGCAATCAGGCCCACCCATTCTATGGGCATCTCTAACCCCACAACGTAATGATGGGACCTGGTGGGGGCACTACACATGTCCAGTAATAAGCATCGTGCCCAGAAACGGCATTAAAAGGACCCTAAATTTCTTAGATCCCAATTCCTCTCTGGCTCGACATCTCCACACCTGCACTGCCACGTGGGAGGTGGGTGCTCAGAGGATGGAGATATCCCCTTACACCTGCCACCCCTAGCTGGACCTGCCTGGAGAGGGGAGGGCAAGCAACTTCAGCTTCCTCTCACTTTCCCCCCTCTTGATAAACACCTCACCCAACAGCCTAAAGGGAAAGTAAAAATGGGGGAATATGTCACAGAACTAGGAGGCCCACGGGGTGGGGGTTGGGTGGTGGTGTGCAGCAGCATAGAGCAGATTCCCAGAGCACCTGGGCAGGTGTACTGCCCGCCCTCAGCCCTCCTTGGACCAAGGCTAGGAGGCCCAAGGACCTCTCTTGGGCCCCCTGGTCAAACTGGATTCAGCTGGATCTGGGAACCTAAGGGTTAAAGTTGGGATCTAGGCAGAAACTGGGACTTGGGCTGGAACGCTGCCGAGGGGGAGAGGCCGGGACCCCCACCACGTGGTTACCATATCAATGAGACTTTAACAGGTCCACTGGAATCCCCACTCCATCATCCCTACCCCATCCGCCTCCTCCTGGGAAAGAGGTGGGGGAGAGGAACCTTCCCCCGGTTCCACCCAGAGAGGAAACGGAGGAAGGCGGGAAGGGGTTGGCCCTCCTCACCCCTTCAGTAAGGGACAGAACTAAATCTAACCTTTGTTCTCTCTGGGAGGGCGGAGGGGTGGGAGGTTCAGGTGGGCAGAAGAAACTGGAGCTCAGCTTAGATGGAGGTGAGGTGGGAGCGGGTTAACTCCAATCCTATTGTCCATCTCACTCCCCCTAGAGAGGAAGTGTTGCCAAGGACAAAAGAGGGGAACTGACCACAGCCACTGTGGTACCAGGAAGGGTATGGGGGTGGCCATGGGGACTGCACTACCGGTTTCTCTGGGGAGGCACTTGAGGCCCCAATGTTGCAGGTTGGGAGCCAGGGGCTCCTGAATGAAAAGGAGCAGGGGAAACCTTGATGTTCTATAATAATTCTCATGGTTCATAGCCCCATTTTACAGACAAGGAAGCAAGCTCAGAGAGCTAGGGAGTTTGGCCAAGAGAACATGCAGGAAACAGGACAAGCCTAATGCAACCCCAGACCGACAGACATAAAAGCTGCCGGCTCCTTGTTCAGGGCCTCAGGAATTGGGATCTAAGAAAATTTAGGGTGAGCTGGGCCTCCTGGTGCCTCTTTCCCTGAAGGCAGCACAGCCGGCAGCCACCCCCCTCCCCTCTATGCTGAGTCTTCCTCAAGACATCCCACATGATGCATCCCACATTGCTCCTCCAGAGCCAGCCATTCCCGCCTTCCTCCTACTCCTGGAGGCTCCCTGCGCACGAAGTCTCCACGGAGAATAGCGTCTGGATCTGATTACACAGGAAGCTACCCTCCACCCAGGGTTCAGTTTCACCGTTGTCTATGCCCCTGTTGCATAAAGCACTGGTTTGCTTGCCACCTGCAGTGTGCAGGTCGCTGGACTCCAGGTCAGACCTGGTGTCACCCCCCTTACCCCAGGGCCTTGTTGGGCAAGTCACAACTGCCTAATCTTAGGTGTCTCCTGGCTGTAAGCCAGAAGGAGAAGCCTGCCCTGCCTCCTCCAGGGTCACCCAAGGCATCTGCTGAGGCCACAAGCGCCCTGCACACCTAGGGGATTATTGTAGGTACTGACTTGGGACAAGAGTATTTTGCCAAGAGGATAAGGGCAGCCTCACATGTAAACCCGGGCAGACTCTGCGGAGTGGGTAACAATTAACTTTATCAGTCGTAACTGTCAGGTTTCCACCAGCAGCAGTTACCCACGTGAAGTTCTGAGAATGATGTCTTCTTTGGGAGGCGGGCTGTAGGACACAAAGAGGGTCGAGGAAGCAGCAAGCCAGCAGGAATGGGAACTGGGCCACAATTCGCTCTATTTTCTTCCTGTGCCAGTGAGAGCTTTATCATGGTACTAGTGCCTTTGGATCTCACTCAAGGACTCCAAGGGCACCCAAGGCTCAGGTTCAGCAAGGGATAGGGCCTAAAAGATGGTTTAAGGAAGCTGAAAGACAGCTTGGGAAGGAGGCCAGACCCACAGGGGAGAGGACACTGCCGGTATAGTTTGGATGATGACTCCCAACACTATGTCTAGGTCCCAAGCACTGGAACCTTATTTTTAGAAAGGGTCTTTGCAGATATAACTAAATTAAGGATTTCAAGATGAGATCATTCTGGATTTAGGGTGGGCCCTACATCCAAAACAGGTGTCGTAAGAGAAAAATACGAGGGAGATTTGAGACAGACACAAGGGAGAAGATCATGTGATGACGGAGGCAGAGACTGAATGAGGCAGCCACAAAGCAACGAGCGCCTGGAGCCCCAGAAGCTGCAAGAGTCAAGGAAGGAGCCTCCCAAGAGCCTTGGGAGGGAGTGTGGCCTTTGGACACCCTGATTTTGGATTTCTGGCTTCCAGTACTGGGAGGGAATAAATTTCTGTCATTTTAATCCACCCAGTTTGTGGTGACTTCCTACAGCAGTCAGAAAACTCATACATTGTCTTTCTTCCTGGTGAGTTCCAGGCTCTCACAGGTCCCCCGAGGTCAAGCTGGCTTCCTGATACCACTCCTGAGCTGCTGTAGAAGAGCCCATTTGAGATAGGAGTCTGCCTGGTTACCTGAGCCCAAGCCACCTAACAAAGGGAACTTTATTCTGAGTTGTAAATGAGGGGGGAGCGGGGGGGGGCAGGTAAAGATGGGGAGAGAACAGGGGCTTCCTCTCACAACTCACC